CAGAGGTGCCCTGGGCAGGATTCCTTTTATTTGCCTTGGGATGAAAACGCTGTCGCTTTGCCGGGGTTGGCATTGTTCGGGAAGTATCTCGAGTCGCTGTGGGTTCTTGTGAAGTAGTCTGCCGCGTTGAAGCCGTTACTGGCGACGGCCGCATGCTGTGTAATAAGGCACTAGGGCGTCGCTTATGCTGCTGCTGACCTGGACTCTCGGTCCTGTACTGGGTGATGTNNTCGATTGCCCCGGAGACCACGCTGTTTTACCTTGGCCTGACGAGAGGCGTAGTAATGTTCGATGCCTCCCACTGCTGTGGCAATGAGACCATTCACCTGAGCTGTGGTGCTGTAGTTGAAGTCTGGAGACTCAAGCTAGCTGATCTTCAAGACCGAGTCTGTTGGGGCGTGGCAACGCGCGCTTTTGCGTGGACGTAGTCTGCCTGATGCGCACCTCCAACAACCTGCTTGATGGCTACGGCTGCCAGTGTCGCCAAACCTTCGTGGACGCGGCAGGCCGTGGCCCGGATCTGCCAGATGCTGGCGGAGGCGCCGGTGCGCCACCTCGGCTCACGCGCCTGCGCCAGCCGGATGGGACGCCGGTTTTGAGGTGCGAGTAGGTCGAGCAGCTGCGGGGCCACCTCTTCGAGCCGGAGACCCAGGCCTGGCCACCGCAGCACCGGGTCAACCAGAGGGGCACTCGACCTTGGCCGGTGCTGGAGGTTGGTGACCTCCAATGGCAAACGCGCTGAAAGTTCATCACAGATCTGGCGCAGCTCGAAACGCACTGCGAAATCGCCCGGCTTCTGCAGCGGGTATCGTTCCGTGCCCCACTAGAAGCGGGAGTTGAGCTTGGCCTGCAGGAAGGGGGGTGCCCCGAGCTGGTCTTGAGGCAGGACTGCAGCCGCGCCTCCACATCAACGAACAAGAGGCCGCGGCCAAACACTTTTGGGATCCCTACCGGGTTTGGCCACGAGCTTGGACCCAGCTCCTTTTCCAGGGCCTTGAAGTGCTGCTCGACGGACTCGTCCGGCTCAAAGCAGACGTTCACACGGCAGGCGTCGGCGTCGCCAAAGGCGGTGGCCACAGGACGCGCGGCAAGGTGGGACTGCTCCACGCGGGCACAACTCCGTCCGCCGCCTTGAGCGGCAGGTACTTGCCTCCCTTCACGTTCGTGAGCAGCCGCTGGCGAGCTGACGGCTCTTTTACCCTTCCATAAAAGCTTATGGACTTGTCGGACCTCCCATCAAGAGCATGCGGCTCCTTGCGCTCTTTTTGGGGACGGAGTCGATTGGGTGGGCTTTCTGGGACAGAGGCTGGAAGGTCGTTTCTGTGGACCTCGATCCCAAGTTCGAGCCCACCATCTGCTGCGACATCATGGAGCTCGACGATTCTTTGGGCACTTCGATATGGTCTGGGCCAGCCCTGTCTGCACCGAGTACTCCCCAGGCCCTGCGGAAGCGGCCCCGCAACCTCGAGAAAGGGGACCGCCTCGTGCTGTGACCCTTCGAGGTCATCCGCAACCTGCGTTGGAAAACCCGCATGTGGACCTGTCCCACTAAACTGTGCCAGTACACTGTGGAGCCGTCATTATCTACCATCCTGGTACTCACAAGCCTGGCTGCAATGCGCAGGTGATCGTCCACCGTGCTGATGGGCCTCAGCAGGGGCGTCNNATCTTGAGTGAAGAGCGCATCCACTACCGTGGTCAAAGATAGATAACCTCACTAAATCCGCTGCCTTCGTCCAGACGGAAGCTGATCCAGCTGCTGTGCTAAAAGACGAGTTCAGATTGGACCCAGCTCTCTAGGCTGAGGCCAATCACGAGATATGGGAGTGAGTCAAGCCCATTTCACTGTCAGACTAGCTATGCGACAGACTTTTGCTAAAGCCTATGGCAAGCTAGAGGATAAGCGCGTAACTGCTCAAGAGTACGTGAGAAGGAGCTAAGCGAGCTAGTGGGCGAAGAAAGACTTGTCTTCGGTCGCTATGCATACAGATATCGATGCTGCCTGCTGCTAACAGGCATTGTACCGGGAGACTTCAAATACTCCAGTGCAGAATTGCCAAACTAGGAGCTTCCATAGTGCAGACAGACCACGACTAGTTGCAGGCTTGCAGCTTGCTGAACACGTGGTCAAAGGTCTTCGGCGGACGTTTCTACCTGCGGTTCGCTCAGACACGGCACTCACATGGACTTTGTGACAACAAGGAGCGCCGTTTGTTCCACACGAGCTGGACCTCCTGTGGAATGCTTCATACGGAAGCCCAATGTGTATGGAACTTAGAGAATACAACCTTATGCAGTCCGACAACAGCGGAAGCCCATGTCGAAGTATACATTTGGACAAGGTTCTCCACTGCCTTAGAACGGACAGTCTGGACTAGAAGCTACCAGAAGGTTGGCAATTGTGCATTCAAATCGCCCAGCCTTCCGAACCTCGAAAAACAGGACGGCCAGGAAAGCTTCAGCCAGGATGGAGCAAGGAGGCCTTCAGACCATCACTCGCAAGGTGAGAAAGGCAAGAGGCATGCCTGGCAATTGAGATCCAGCATTGTGAACCAATTGGCGCGTATGCATCTGCCTTTGCTCATCTTGACCACATACCTGCGCAAAGCTTTCTTGGCGTGTTTTCCTCTGTCCAAGATGATAACTGTCTTGTTTGTACCAATGCTGACGCCTCTTTGTTGCAGAACTTGGTCGTGTTGGTGTTATCCACATTATTATCGCCTTATCCACATGGCCGTTATCATGCCTGAGTCTACTTGGACGACCAGAGCTTGTCGTAGATCTTTCCGAGGTAGACAATCGAAAGCCTTCGATTTGCTTAAAGACAACTGAACACCATACTTTTTTTGGGTCCGTCCGTCTCGTTTCGTGTGTATGTTGCAAACTTGGCTCTGTATTAAAATACGCACTTTCAGTAGCCAAAAAATGTCTTCCATCCTCTTATACAGCGCTCCGAAGTGGACGTACAAGGCAGATATACTTTAAAGTTTGTATTCCAACCAGATGAAGTGCGTAAACCTTCTGGAACGTGAGTTATAGAGCTTTCGAAAGAGTCCACCCGTGCTCTTGATTATGTGCATTCTCCCCTTGTTTCATCTCTTAGCTGCATTCTGCGCTTTGAGGTCTGCCAAGCCGTTCCTCAAGATTTGCGTCTGCGCCTTTGACAAAGCCTCCTGCATGGTCTTGTGTACAAGCATCACAGAGGTCATTGCTGGCAACACCTCGTTCCACTTCTGCAGCCCGCGGCAGTGGCCACCCGCGAGGTCCCGCAGTAGGTCGCTGTCCAGCGGCCGCTCCACCGCCCCGGCGAAGCTGTCCAGCACAGGCACGCCGCGATCCAGTGCCACGCAGGCCACGTCGACCCAAAGGCCTGTGTCCACTGGGTGACCTTCTCGATCACCAGCCAATCGAGCTGGCAGCAGCCGTTGCGCACCGTGCGGCGCACGCAGTGGTCGGCGGTCTGTGCTCCCAGTCCCAGGTTCTGCGCAGCGTAGTGGGTTTTCGATCCCAGCTGCACCACATCGCCGGCCTTCCGCAGCTGCTCCACTCGCCCGTCCGCAGCCGCAAGCTGCGTCACTCACACCAACTGCGCATGGCAACCTTGAGGCAGTGCCCCGCAGCCAGCAGCGCGCTCCGCGCCGCATGCAAGTCCCGCGTCCAGAAGTGGCCCGTCCGGAGCTCGCCGTCCCACTCGTGCCAATTGCCGAATTCGAGCACCGCAGATTCCCGGCGCTCCGACCTAAAGCGGGGACGCAGGCGCTCCGCATCGTCGCACTAAAAGACGCTGCGCGCCTTCTTGTAGAAGAACGCGTGCCCCTCCTGAAGGCCACGGCGCGCGCCTCCTTCGGCCGGAAGCTGCCTCTGGCAGTTCACGAAGAGTATCGACGCGCCGTGCAAGACGCAGAACTTGCAGATTGCAGATCTCCTCGAGTATGATGCCTCGCTCCTGCCAGCCGCGGTCGAAGTCGGAGCAGCAGCTCCGCGCTAGCTGCCAGGCCGCGCAGAGCTTGTCGTCCCGCCGCTTGAAGGAGGCCAGGATCTCGTCGCGCTTAAAGAGCTGAAGAGACCTCGCGCAGGGCGCCGAGCGGCTGCCGCAAGCTCGTTTCCACAAGCGTGCGGTTGTCGACGTGCTGCGTGGTCTGCGAGCTTAGCGTCCACTCCCGCGCGCCGTCGAGAAAGTAGACCTCCTTGGAGAGCTCCATGATCGCATCGTCCTCCGACGGGCTGCTCTCCCATACTCGAGACGGGCGGTCCTGCGAAGCCGAGCGGGGTGCTCGACTGATACAGAGCTACCCACGGGCGGCTATCAGTAACATCCGGCCCCCGATGACGCTTCGCGCAGAGCGGAGGCTCTGGGAGCCGTCTAAGAAATGGGGCGGCTCCGAAACTCCACCACTTCCCATTGGGGCGGGTGCTCCAGGAAGGAAACTCTGCCCGTTTTTTCCAGCCGCCGGCTGGTGCCTCACAGCACCCAGCAGCTCGGAGCTGGTTAACGAAGGTTGAAGTGCTGCGCGCCCGCATCGAGCAACCACACTCGGCCGCGGAGCGTCAGCCCCTAGCAGCTCGCGTATGTGATGGTATGGCACAGCTGCGTGTGCCGCAGCAGCTCCGCATGGGTGAACTGCTGCCCGCCGTCCAAAGCGTGACGCGCTCCGCGTGCAGGTCAACGAGCGGGAGAACAGGCGCCT